TTCAATAATCTTATATAAATTCGATTTAAAATAGACTTGTTCTATAAAACTTTCAGATAATTCAAGTTATTAAATCATTTTAATATTTAAAATGTTGTTTTAACTTATTAATATTATTATTATTATTAGAAATAAATTTATAAAATCTGAAAGAAAGACAACGATCCTATCTTGATATATTATTGAAAATTCTCTGAGTTTTTTCTGTAAATCCCTCATTTGTCAAAAATTGATGTCTCATTTATCATATTTTATGTCTAATATATATATTTTTAAATATTTTAAACTTGTAACAAAAATAATTTATAAAATTTATAAAATATTTTAAAACAGAAACCATTATACGTTCATTTTAACATTAAATTCGAGTATTTATACAAAGCTTTATTAAAAGTAGAAATAATTCTACAATTTACATCTAAAATGTAACACATTTCCTACAAAATAAGATATTTAAATTGTATATAAATAACAACTTTATATAAATTTAATAATTAAAAAAAATTATAATTAATTTTAAAACATTAAAACTCGAACTTTGTCACGTAAAAATGAAAATAAATGATAAAATTTTAAACTGAATATGACAGAAAATTAAGTGGATATAGAAGAGATATTTTAAGTATGTTTTCAGCTAATTATAACGGATAAAATTTTCAATTAATTTAAATTTATGTAAAAACCGTTCACGCCAAGAGAGTTTAGAAAATTAAATTGTTTAATCAATCATAACTCAAAGAATATTTTTTACTGATAGAATTATAGTAATGTATGATTATACGTGTATTTATTTTTTGTTGTCGCTGGTGCGAACTATGTGTTAAATGACTACGAGGATGTTCTCTTAAGGAATAACAAACATAATGGAAGAACATCTTTTTGATATTGTTCCTGTCTCAAAGGACGTCCTACAGATCACTTGTCTGATGGACAAAAGATGTTCCTTTAGTGAGAAAAGAGATGAAAGAACACCTGGGATTATCATCAGCACCATGTACAAATTTCTCTCCGCATTTCTTTCGGAAAAATATAATTAATCACTATTCTTAACATCGATACTTTTTAAGATTTAATTTGTTAACACAATAAATTCTCCTTAATTAATAATCTTTCTATTATTCACCAAAGAACCGCTTATATAATTTTTTTTCTATTAAACAAATTATATTACGAAGAGAAAGAGTTTTTATCGTCTATTCTAAATAATGCTAGTATACAATTTTATTTCTGTTGCAAAGTAGGAAAATTCAAAAACGACAAAAAGAATTTTTTTATATTTTTTATTTGTAAGAATTGTACTATATAACAGATAAGAATAACGTTCTATACAAGAATAGCTCATGAGATAGAACATCAGAATAGAGGCAACAAAAATTGACTAGTCCACATCACTTCTTGGACAAAAGCCCGCATATAAGAGGATATCAAATTTATGAATGGATAAATCCATGAAAATTCTCTTCTGGCCTGTAACGATATTTCAAACAGAAGAATGTTGAAAATTTCCTAACTATTTGCTGATCGGGAATAAGTATTACAACAGGAAAAGGAAAAGAAAAAAAAATACTGAAAAAAAATTAACATAGAATAGCGATATTTTTACAAGAAGCACATTTTTTAAATTATTTTCAATTTAATTTGTAAAAATAATTTTCTTCTACTTTTACAAAAAAAAAATTGAAAGTNTATTATTATTATTTTTTAACTTTGATTTAATAAAACGATCGTTTCAGTAAATCATCAAAAATGCATTTTCCTTGTCGGTTTGGAACTTTAACAAAAATTAAATTGTCGAATTTGTATTTTTCTGTCACAAGCAATGCCTGTTAACACACATGTTGACTGCACGTTATAAATAGCGCTAATTATCCTCAACAAGAAACTGTGCCACGAATTCGTGAGAGTTTTTTTTCTCCCCTTCCAAAAAATTTAAGTAGGGACAACATGATTATTCATTAATTACAAATAATTTATCTAGGAATTGATAAGACCTACAATTTGCATGCTAATCCCACGCGCAATTAAACATTAGTCAGGTTCATTCAAATTAAAGTAAATCTTGTTAACTCTTCCAAGAGAGGGAAAAATGATAGAGAAGAGTGAAATATTATTTGTAACTTTTAGAATATTCAATATTCTTATATAAATTCGATTTAAAATAGACTTGTTCTATAAAACTTTCAGATAATTCAAGTTATTAAATCATTTTAATATTTAAAATGTTGTTTTAACTTATTAATATTATTATTATTATTAGAAATAAATTTATAAAATCTGAAAGAAAGACAACGATCCTATCTTGATATATTATTGAAAATTCTCTGAGAAGTTTAAGAAATATTTTTTAGTTATAAACAATTGAAGCACTTTTTTAAAATATTTAAAAAAAAATCTTTTTACAATATTAATAAAAAAGTTTATTCTATTTTATCCTAAATAAAATAGACAACAAACATAACTTTATTGGTATTTTCTATAGAAAAGAATGACAAATTTTTATCTCTATAAGCTTATCCTATTGAAAGTAATGTTCGCAAGAAAATTCGTTTTTAACCAAACAAAATCCATCAAAACATTTTATATATGTTTACAATCAATATAGTATAGTTAGGTAATGTTTACAGATTTTCAAAATTTAGCCATCACTCTGCATACATATAAATTATGTTCTACTTCTGCATCCTCTGTGAATACAGAATATCTTTTTATAATTATGTTTACAGTATCTGTTCATTCGTAATTTATATGTATACTCTAATAGCATAATATAATGCTTATATTTATAACTTATATAAATACTCGTATAATATATATATGTAGCTTCTACAGTTACTATAGAAATAGTAACGGTGATAATTTTCCAATAAACTCAGCAGTTGTTTGTTCATCTCCAAATTTTTTCAACGAGAAACCATGACAGGTTTAGATTTTTCGTCTGATAATGAATAAAAATAACTCTTAGGTGTATGTTTTGATAGCACTTTCGCTGTTTTTTCTTCTTTTTAGTACGAGTGTTGTCATTTATAATACATAGAGAAATGAGTATTGCTTTCTAAACAAAATTTTTCAATTAACTATGTTTTATATATATATATAATATATAATAATAAATAATTATATTTTAAAACAAACTGGGTTGTAATTAATGTCGACATATTGAATGTCGTTATTTCTAATTATGTTTTATCTTATGAGTAAATCGTCTAAGAATATAATTAGAACTTTTATCTTTGTTTAAGTTATTCGAGAATAAACTGTTATATTCCTTTTAAAAAAAAAAGGAAAGTAAGAAGCATTTATATTCCGAAGAGAAATGTACTTTTGAAATTCGGGAATACAAAATAGAGCAGTTTTGGAATAAAACTATTGACTTTTCTCTAAAAAAACCGCTGTAAGCTCTTTTTAAAATGTAAACTATTTATCATTCAATTACATATACCGATACAAAAACTACTTACTGACATAAATCAGCTTAGCGCCAAGTGGTTTCAATCCCATTTTTTAAAAAAATTTACCTTTCCTTGAACTGTTGGTACACTTAACTCAATTATCTGCTTAAAATTTATTTGGAAGGATAATTTAAGTTCAAGACGTTTTGATCGATTTAAAACAGCAATTTGTCACTGAACGACCAAATTAAACGCAGCCTCGAACGAAAATTAAAAAAAAAATCATTTTTAAAAAGTATAGGACCTTCTTGATCTTTTCCAGGACAGTAAATGATAAATTCCAAAAGAAAAAAAAAAGTTCTACAAGTTTTTCATTAAATCAATTTTATGTTAAAAGTAAAAGAGAATTTTAATGGGATTGACCTTAAAATTTTAGGATATTGTAATTATCGAATGTTGAGATTCATATAATTAATTTTGTCCCAAACTTTTTTTGGTTAATTTATATCTCCTATGATGATCGTACTTTTAATTATTCAAGATATAGATTTCTCTCCAGAGAGACAAACATGTTGAATGGCATCTCAAGAGATGTAAACATCTTGAATAAATAAATCATAAAGTAATATTTCAAACTTAACGTCTTTCGGTGTTACTTTTACTAATTCATATAAATAATTAAATATTTTAATAATTAAATTTAAACTATNATATGATTAGTTTAAAATTCATGAAATTATAAGTATAGAGACTTTAAATTTTAATTCTCATTATTAAGCTTAATCTATTAGAAAATCAGTACAAAATTACTTATAAACTTCATTTATAGCAGCCGCTAATTATAGTTTTGTAATTAAATGCATAAAACTCTGTCGTATCGTTAACCAGAAGTCATCGAACAAATTTTAATTGATCATTAATGTAAATTATTGAGCTGTTAATGCTTGAGAATTTAGAGAAAAGCCTTATCATTGACTCTATATTTTAATAAAAATCAATAGTTAATTATTTTATTAATTAAAATTAAACTTACATTTATTTATTTTTTAAAAAATGTTACAATTTTTCGTTATATGTTTTAGAAATTAAGGCAAAAATTCACTAAAAATAAATACGTCTAAATTAGTTTGCTTTTTTTAAAAAATTACAGTAAATATTCTTAGATTACTCGTTAATTTCATCCAAGATCAACGCAGTTATGTTTTTTTTTTCATATTTAAGACGTTTTTAACCAGCAAATTAATTTTTAGAAAAGTAACGTATATCCTGTAGTACGGCATATTTTAAATGAAAAGTAATCAGATATGTTCCTTCAACTAATTAAATTTATCGACTTATACATTATATTTTCATTTTAATATGAATAAAATATAAAAATTTTTCGAATATGGATGTTTATACTTAAATTTTTTAAATCTAAATATAAACATTTGACTCGAGCTTAGTATAGAAACTAAGTAACACTAGATTTTACTCGGTTCTACTAAAACCGCCCATGTAAAAATATCACTTAGTTTTTTTAACTATAGTATAAGCTTACTGAAATTTTAAAATTTCAAATTTGAAATCTGCTTATTTTCTACTTAATATAAAACTTTTTTTTTTCTTTAGAAATCTCCAGGATTGAAAGTGGAGAGGAGTTTACATCGGCCACGTTTACTGACATCCATAAAGGTAAATCGATTCGCCTGCAAGTAAAAGTAGTAGTACCTGTAAAAGATCATCCAAATGTAAGTATAGTCGTTGGCACTTGTCCCATTTTGAGACATTTCAGTTAAACAAATAGGCTATGAAAAGTGGATATATGAAACGAGCAAATTCACATTCAAAATATTTTTTCTTGTATGAGATATGATAATGGATATTTTAGATATTTATCTATGATATCAATATAGTCATTTAGTTAAATTATTTATTCTCTTATATATCTGTTTTCAACAATTTTTCAACAAAATTGTACTTCAAAACATTTCATTTAGCATAATCGAATATTTAACGCTTCTATTCAGAAGAGGAAAAGGGAAAAAAAAGAAAAGAAAATTAGTAACAGGTTTCTTTATGTATATTTTGAAAACCGACTTTCCAGCAGGTGTTTACACCAGCAAACACGATAAACAGAAAAAAAAAAACAAATGAAAAGAAAGAGTGAAGATAATTAAACTGAGAGCCTAGTGAAAAAGCAAGATTAAAGACCATGAATATGGATGAGATTAGAAAAGACTTCGGAGAAGGATAACTGTCTATTCAAAATGACAGATATTTTCAATTTAAAAAAAAATCATGATTGATTTAAAGAACGTAATTTTCTCGATTCTATCCTTATAATAGCTATTTTTTACTTTCACATTATTATAATCATAAACCATCATAATATATTAATGTTTTCTAATGAGTTCAATGTATTTAAAAACAATTAGTTAGTGGGAAAAAAATTATGGAAGAAGAATTAAGAGTTCGGGTTACATAATAATCACTAGTTAAAACTTTTAAAAATTTGGATGCTGAAAGAGACATCATTAGTCGTTCAGATAATTAAGAAAAGGAAAGATGAGTCTGTAACGAAAATATAATTGTCTCGAGTGAGAAGACTGTAAAAAGAATTTATTTTTCAATTATAATAGCTATTTTTTGATGCAGAAAATAAAAATAAAAGTTACTATATCTAGAAATAGAAATCGTATTTGATAAATTAATAAAATTATTTATGGAAATTCATCTGATACTTTATTCTTAGTCAAGAAAAATTGTCTTGTTGAAAATTTATATTGATAAAAATAAATCTTTTAAGCTTAAGAATTTTAATCTAGAAATAGAAATTAAATTCTTTGTTTATTTATTGATTTGCAATTTTTTTATTTATAAACCCATCCACTCAAGCAATTATGAAATATAAATCTGTATAGGCCTAATATTTTCAATATATTATACTGTAATTTATTCTATTAAGAGAAATTTATTTGGAAAATCTAAGATGTGACTATCTTTAACTATCAAACTTTTTATAGAAGTATTTCAAAATGTTGTATTTTATTTCATCAAATATATTTTGGATTATATCCCTTTTAGTTATTAAATTATATAATATTAAGCTATTTTATAATGATAACTTTTGATATTATTTTACTAATTATTTCACTTTTGTGTATATAACGTACTTTAAATTACGGTGTATAAGTCTTTAAGCTTGAAAATTCTCGATATAGATATGCCTTACACTGTATCCACACTTCAATTCTACTCTGCTATATATTTGGAGTTTGAATTGTATGAAAGTATAAACTTAAATCAGAATTTTGAGCTAAAAGCCTATCGATTTACACGTTCGGCCGAATTTTACGGTATATCAGTTAATTTTGATTGTTTTCTTCACGATTTTTCTTTAATTATAATAGAAATTTACAATCTTCAAGTGATGAAAATTGCGTGTTTTAATATCTATATATCATATTTTCAACATTAATCAGAGAGACGAGGTGGACCAAGATCAGTACCATATGAATCCTACTCTTTCCCGAAAAATATATAAATAAATTTTTATAATTTTCTTATTATGATTTTTATATTAAATATTAAATTTTGAAGTCTTTTTGCATCTTGAATCCGAGATAAAAAATCTTATTGGCTCTTCTATGTGGGTCTTAGCTTACGATAAACCAAACGTATAAATGCTTCTCACTCTTTTGGATTTTATAATAAACTTATAATAATTTACTAATCTTTATATTTTTCATTCTTTAATAAATTGAGAAAAGTTATAAATTTTCAGGGTTAAATTGAAGTTAATGCATAAATATTAGATAAAAATACTTATTTTCTTTCAATTGTTGTAAACAAAAGAATAGCATGCATTCAAGCATGAGACAAATTGATAATTTTCAAAATATTCTATCTTAATGTTAAATAATTTTAAAAGTTAATCAGAACAAACTTTAATCATTTTAAATTCTAAAATTTAATTTTACTTTTTAATTTAAAAATAACAATGGTGTAAAGATTTCTTAACAGATAAAATTTGAAAAGAAGTTCCATTTATTACAGCAAAACTTTCACTTCAACGCATCTAACTGTAGATAACAAGACTAATTCGAGAAGAAATCGTTTTTGAATGAATTAATTTAACAACGTTTTTATTTTAATTAAGGCTTTTTTCATATATATTTTTTATTTCAAGAAATGGTTCATATTAATTAAAAATTAAAACTAATTTTGTAAACTATTGTAAATTGAAAATAACATTGTTTATCTCTTCAGTAGATTTTTTTTGTGTTAGTTTGTTCATTTTTTACAACTGCTAATTGAATAATTCTATGTAATTTTCCAGTTCATATATGTAGAATGCCCGTATTTAAAATGTTATTACTAGATATTTAATACTACAGAATAAAAAAAACTATAGAATTATTTAATCGTTATGAATTTAATTTGTACAAAAGTGAATATTCGATACACTTAAAAAAGAAAATTAAGTCTAATTAATGTTTTTTATATACTAGAGATTCTACAAATACGTGTAATCGATAGTAATGTCTTATTAAATTCTCTTGTTCTTATCAAATTTTTTCAAAATTAGAAAGAGGAGTTAAACCCTCAAAAATCTTCCGTGTTACAGAACCATAACAATTAAAAATATTTAATGTAGCATTGATATAGAAAAATTTAAAAAAAAATGTTATCTCTTGTTAACTCAGAGAGTTGATTGATAATTTAAATTCCGTGTTATCTTTCAGTTTACAATAAAGTTAAGATATAAGTTTCTTGTTTTCTCCGAAATCCCAAATGGCTAAAGACTTACTGTTCTACGTTTTTATTTATTTGTGAGAGTCAAAACAGATCCCAAGTTATCAACAAAATATCAGACTGTAAGGAATCACTATCTCGGTTAATTTGCATATTAAGAAGATATCTAACTTGTTTGAAGTATGATATAAAAGAATTTACATAAATTTTTATTTGAAATGTCATTGTCCTCTTGACGAAGTTCTGTATCTTCCAAGTACTTATGAAAGTAAAATATTTCTTTAATAACTTTAATTAGTACGATAATAATCTGTGATTCAATTTTTTCCAATATATCTAAAAAATCTACTAGATATATTCTAAACAAATTGTTTAAACGGTGTTGATTAGTGTAATGATTTAGTAATGATGTTTGAACAGTATTGGTTCCGTATTTTGGGGAGCTCAGTACAAAATATAAACGTGGAGCCTATTCAAAACGCCTCTCTATGCGCAGATCCCTGCACCTAAGCTTAGATCTAAAGTTTTCTTTAAATAGTGTATACATAGAATGTTTTACAAAAGAAGCTTCTGTTAACAAAACTTTTAATAACTATACATAATACATATGTATAGTTATACATATATGTAATAATATAAATGTAGCTATGCAAGGTGTCTTATGTGAAGAGTTACAAGCTAATAACTCGAGAACAACTTGAATGATGCAAACCATATGTTTTTTTTTATAATTTTCTATGGTTTTAAAGGAGCTTCATAACAATGGTAAAATTATTTCGCTCCTCGGAAATTTATATTTGAAATTTCAAATTAAATCAAGTGTAAAAGTGTATATTCAAATTGACAAGACTAGCAGTAACTACACTATTTTGTCTGTTTATTTATTTTATTAAATATTCAAATTGTTGGCCACTTATTTTTAAACATTTATTTATTCTTTTTATAAAACTTTGCATGATTCTGCATAACATTTCGTGGCCATTGTAGCACAGGCTTCACATCTTCTCCGTTTGATTTTTTTTCTCTCGAAGTAGGTGGTAGGAACATCACTTTTTTTTCTTGACGTATCTCCGTAGAAAGTAATCGAGAGATGTGAGATCAGGTGAATGAGGGAGCCATCGAACGAGTCCTCCACGACCTATCCATCTGTCACCGAATTCCTAGTTTAATAGAGTACACGTATCTCTGGCAAAACGTGGTGAAGCACCATCTTGCTGAAACCACATTTTTCTTCTCAGATTTAGTGGTACATCTTTTATAGTCGACCGCACAATTGAAAGGAGAGAGACTGAACAATTCTGAAACAACGTAAGCTCCAACTGTGCCTAACTTTTAATTGACTCATGTTATAAAAAAAGTGCTTTAGATGAAAGTTTATTGTCTTTTTTCCGTAGAACCTAAAAATAAACACTTTTCTCTAGAGTTCCATTTGAATTTTTAAAGTTTCCGCCCTACTATGAAAGAGGGCGAAGAATAACATAACTTTTTCATTGTTACGAAGCTCCTTTGAAACCAGGTGAATCCCCTCATTCACCTGATAAAAATGGAAAAAAGACGGTTCGCATAGGTCAAGTTATACTCGAGTTCGTAACACTTCACATTGTACACCCTTTATATAATGAAAGGGTAAAGGAAGAACATTTTAGTACCTTTATCATTAACATCTCTGATTAAAAATTACTTAAAAATTTATAAAATTTAGAATAAAGACAGCTATTAAATTAATTTACTATTGTGGTATATTTTATATTAGTTCTTACTCATTAGCATATCTAAAGATGAGATCAGAAGTGCTTCTACGTTTACAATTTAATTTTCTATTTATTATCACTCTGTTTAGCATTTAAGAAGATAACATATTGACTTATTCGTTGACGCAGTATTAATTTTGGAGTGCAATAACTGTTTTATTGTCTTCATAAATTCTTTTAATAGTAAGGAAACTGAAGTTTAATTCTTACTGTGCAGTACACACCTTTTACTTAATGCTATTTTTATTATCTCAGTATTTTTTTATTACTTAATGAAAATTAACAATAGACCTATATAAAGTAACCCGAATTTATATTTCTTAAGATTTTAAGTAGATAACTCAGTAATATGTTCGTGTATATGTACAGTATTTTAATAATACATTATATAATCCTTTTAATGTTAAATATAAATATATTTGATAATTAACTTAACTATTCTTAGTGCAATTTATTTAATTAATTTAAATATCAGATTTCATCAAGTTGAAATTAGTGCAATTAATTTCAGTTTAATTAGAATCTGGATGCTTTCTATAATTATGACAATGCTAAATGTTAAATCATCTTTCTTTTTAGTTCATAAAATTTAATTTTTATTTTACAAAAAAAAAATTATTTCTCTATGAAAATCGTCTTTAAAAATTAAATAAATTTATGAAGATAATATTATTACTGTTCAATTATTAAATTTCAAAAATCTTTACGTATTCTAAATTTAATTTTTATTTTTACAAAATATGAAAATTTAATTATACTTACAAATTGAACACACTGAATATTAAATGGTAATAAACATAAATTAATATTTGCTATTATAATAAGTAATTATAACTAAGATTTATAACTGAAAAAAAACACTTTATGTTACAAAAGTAATAATAAAAATAAATAAAATCCTAAAAAGAAATATTCTAAAAGGAAAATAGAATGTAAGTACAAATAGCTACTTGCCAATATTACTTTATAAAGTATCTATAATGTAAATTCTTCGGATAAAAAAGCAATTTGAAGATAAACCAGTTGAATGCAACAGTTATCATAAAGACAATGGATTGCTGGAAATGACAGAAGTGGAATATCGACACGCAAAAGGTTTGGCAATAATAAATCTACGATGGATTCGATAAAAACAGATAAAAGACCAAAAGCACAACCCAAAAGATATGTTAGAAGAAGAAGAAAGAAAAATGGATCACATTCTGTGCACGGATATAGGATCCATCATACTCGAAGTTCAGTAAACAGTTATAATGATTGCTGTAATCTATAAAGTAAACTTCTCATTAAACAAAAAGATTTATCTTCTATTCGACATATCAGTAACGATCACACATTATACTTTATTTAATCATAAATGTATTAGAAAAATTTACCTTAAAATTAATAAAACTAAGTATTGAATAATCACTACTACAATTTATTTTAATTAACTTTACAACTTATATTTTAAAACTTGTAATTATATTAATACACCGTAAGAGAGTTAAGCTATGAATAATTTCTATTAATTACATATTTTTATGGTTAGTTTTCGAAGTATATATCTGTTTTTGTGTACTGAAATTTAAGAGTTTAAAATTAAATAATTTTATTAGATACTATTTTAATTATAAAAAATGTAAAAATTCATTTTTATGTTATTCCAGGCAAAAAAAAATTGTTCTTTTGTTTCATTATCGTTATAATTATTGTTATTGTTATTAGAGTAAGGCGAGAAAAATGATTTTAATGATTTTCCTTTTCAGTTTAATTTCGTAGGCAAATTACTAGGCCCTAAAGGAAATTCTTTAAAAAGATTACAAGAAGCAACACAAACCAAAATGGCTGTTTTAGGACGTGGTTCGATGAGAGATAAGGCTAAGGTTAGAGATTTATTATCGCAATTATCATAACAGAGCCGAAAATTACCCGAAAGTTTACGATCTTTTTTTTTTTCTTTTATTCATACTTTAGGAAGAGGAACTTCGTAAGGGTAATGATCCAAAATATAATCATCTAAATGAAGATTTACATGTAGAAATTACCGCATTTGCTCCCGTTTACGAGGCTTATAATAGAATGGCCAAAGCCCTTAGAGACTTGCAAAGATTTTTAGTTCCAGTTTGTATCATCTCGTTAACTTTGTTTTTTATTTTGTCTACGTCAATAATCTTATTGAAATTTTCTTCGTGTTAGGATTATTATGACGAAATAAGGCAAAACCAACTTCGCGAATTAGCTCTACTTAATGGAGAAGAACCACAATGGTCAGACTGTCATCTAGAAGATGGATTGAACAGACTGGGCTGCAATCTGACACCTCCCAGTGGAAGAATATGTCGAGCTGTAGTTAATAATCGAATTATATATAGAAATCCTATAAATTGTTCGAGTCCCGCAGATAAAGATGGTTATGTAAGTTTAAATTAAACATTAATAAGCAAGTTTGACTTCTAAGAAAAGCATAAGTTGATTTTCCTTTTTTCTTTTGTTAGGTTACTGAAGATTCTTATTCTGATCATATATGCGATGCAGAATATTGTGCACTTAGGTAAATCTTATGAAATTTTGCATACATTTCCCAATATTATCAGATTAAATTTATTATAAATTGTATCTTAGAGACGTGAACTGTTATGATTATTATCCAATGCCATCGGAGGATCTGTACGATTTTAAAGATTATGGTTTGTATACAAATGACTTATAATTGTTTGCATTTAAATGCATTATTTTATTAAAACAATGTATAATTTTATACTCGTTTCAGGTGAAATGCAGCATTCAGTAAGAGGTAAGATGTATCGACCTTTCTCGAGAATATTTCGAAGAGATCATCCGTATTTCTCTACACACCGTTAAATGTTCATTACCTTTATGGAGAAGGTAAGACACGAGGAAAAGTAAATCTAGTCGAAACGCCGAATTTAAAAAAAAATGCACAAAAATTTTATGTAAAATTGATTTAATATTTTTTTATTAAAAGAAAAAAATGTTTATGTTAAACTCGATCTCACCAGCAAAGTATAAACGAACAAAATTTCAATTAACATTAAAAAAAATACATTTGCATTTTTTCAAACGAGTTAAAAAAATCATAAAATATAAATTTAATTCGTGAAATAATCTTTTTTTAAAATATTATTATTATTAAATTAATGATATTAAATAATCGTAAAAAGAATGAGAATATAATTTTATTGTCTTATCTACGTATCCAAATGTTCTAATTTTTTTCATTCAGATTTGTAACTCGATTCGCGTTGATATAAAGATAAATATTGCCTAATTAATATAAATCGTGTTTAAGTATATATAACTGTAACGATAAGATGAAAATAAAATTCATGCAAAAAAAAAAATCGTGTTTAACTGTTACTGCATCGTTCGCTGTAAACAGAAAAATAACACTTAGCAATTAAAAATTGATTTTAAGATTAAGTTTCATTAATACAAAAATAATAATTGAATTATTAAATTAATTATTATATTAGGCATAAAATCATTTAAAGTAAGAGCAAAACTACGTTAGTAAGTAACTAATTTAATTAAAAATTTTTCATAAAAATAAATAATTTTTTTATTACTCGTAAAAATTCTTTTGTTTTTTTTTTTCATAAATTAAACTTTAAATGTATTTTTTCCCTCCTTTACCCAATTAATTAACTTCTCTGAAAACTTTCAGAAAAATTTGTTCGCGAATATAATTTAATCATACATTAATGAGTTTTAATTATTTTGAAAGTAATTTTAAGCGATACGGAGATAAATGAAGCATCTTCTGTAGATACGTCATGATATTTTCCTGGTCCTAATCAAGACTTAACCATAAAATTGTAATTTACTAAATAATATGACTATCTGGATGTGTACTTCGTGATCCTCCGAGACCGTTCTCAATTTAACTTCAATAAATAGTTACCAAAACAGTTTATATTCGCAATATAAATTGTTCGTAACTAGCGATACATTCCAGTTACAAATATGAATATAATTTCCAGTTTGATTTGAAATTTTATGACTCTAATATTCTCTAAGCTGTTATCTTCGTGTGCAATAGGTCTAAACTAATATGAAAGATCGATTATGATTCTTTGTTAAAGCCCATATACTCTCTAATTCAGTTGAAACACGTATTTTAAACATTACGTAAACAATTTTAGCATTTTCTATCCAGTTATTGTCATTACTATTTTAAATATAAACAATACATTAGCTTTTACCCTACTACTAACAAGAACATTGTTCAAAGTTTTGCATACAAAACTGTTTAGATTTTAATTAAGCGAACAATTCGCATTCAATTACAACCCCGACAAACTGCAGACGCATTCTCTATTCATGCTTAATCCTTTTATAAATTCGATCATTATATTAATTTTATTTTGCATTTATATTCGATACACGTATACTGTTTTATAGACATTTCGAACGGTGGCATTAACACTGAAAAGAAATCTTTCTGGACTGTAAACTAAAAGCTTTACTGCTGACATTTGTTTACTTATTGAGTTTCATGCTGAGAATTGCTGTTTAAAGAGTATTTGAAGTAGTCTTTAAAATAATTTTTTTTCGTTTAGAACAACTTAACCTGCATCTAAACAATTTAAAACACGTATTTAAGCTTATAATCCTTTTCAATTCTTCAATTAATTCATTCTCCTTAAGACTCTAAGACATGATAAAGTATAAATTTATATAAAATAGTTATTGGAGTTCTTATATCTAAGCGCTACACTATAATTTTTTCTATTAATTATTTAAAAGTAGAAATTAATTGGCAGATATCAGCACAATTAATTTCATTAATAATTTAACAAATGACATATTTATGGCATCATTTTCTTGCTAACAAGTCATCATAACTTTCATATGCCATAACTGAATATTGCCAACTTCTTGGGTAAATATTTAACCAGTTATCGAGATACATCATGTTTGATGACATTTGGTGATAAAAGAGACACTTTCCAAATATAAATGTCATCCCCAGATACAGTGATTGGTATATAATTTCTAAAGAGGAATCTTTCGTGCAGCTGTTTCGTTTAAAATGTTTAATTTTCGACATAGTAACCATAAACACGATGCAATTACCATTTCAAAATTACAATGAATTTAGTAGATATTGATTTTCCATTTAGATGAAATTGTTTCAGAATTGTTGTCACAGTTATATTTAGTCATAAATCTGTTGGCATACGAACGAGCATCAAAATGATAACGAATTACAAATAGCGCCGATTCAAATGAGGTATGGTAATTAACAAAACTAATTAACTTGTTTGGCATTTAATTATATCAATTTACCGTTTTTCTAATAAATTTTCTGTCTATGGAAGGTTTAAACAGCTTACACTTTCCATTATATTTCCTTTGCTTTGAAGATTATAAGGATCCAAAATTAATCCTTACTAACACCAAAAATCGAATCATATTTTTTTCTAATCTTAACGAAACTATAACAAAGTTTTTATAAATCTATAAATCTCTTATCAACGAGTTTATTTGGAAAGAAGTTTTTTAGTTTTTAGTTTCATTTCATAAACTTACAAAATGAACTAACATTAATTTTAAGTTTTCTTTCTAAACTTTTTTAAGGGGGAATTTACCGGTAATATTTTAATAGACTAATTTAGTTAATAATCTAGAAAAATCTTAAATAAAATATTAATTTAGTTGTTACCAAAAAGATTATTTAAAAACATAAAATCACTTCACAAAAGCTTAATTTTGTGACACACTTTGAACACAAAATTTTATAGTAGTCATAAGTAATAAAATTTCAATCGTTTTTAAATTTGCCTTGTATATATATATGTATAAATTTTATTTCATTTTTTATTTATTTGCATTTTTATTTTCTTCCTTGCCCATTTATTTTGAACTGCATTGACGTGTTTGTTTGCCAAGTTTCAGAATAGCCAAAATGATATATGCACGTGATGTTTCACAACGTGAAAATGTATTTATTTTTTTTTTTGTCTTTATCGAGGGAATTTTTCATTACTTTTTCGAAATAAATTTTCTCCTTCCTTCTATAATATCATTAATATTATTTTCAGTAAAATAGATAGTTATTCAAAATTAAATTATAGTTATTAGCTTAGTAGAAACAATGTTTTTATATACTTCTTTTGTTTATAAACATGGTAATCAGATTTTCAAATAAAAATTTTGAATAAAATATAATCGGTCGAATAAACTTTCATAAACTTTAAAATTTATCATGAATATGCACGAGTTTTACACTAAATAAGTATCAAATTTGCAGGAAAATATATAATTTAAGCCAGTTTGAATTTTAGAAAAGCCGTTTTAGAAAATAGCTTTAACTTAAACTATTTTCGTCGATTTACCGATAACATTTTTATTTAAATATAAATTTTGTTTGGATACGGAGAAAAGTTATTTATATTTTTAAAGTACTAGCCGTACAGTACACAAAAATGTCGAGATATTTTTATCTGTAAAAAGCTTTGAATTTTACTATAAAAAATGGATGCATTGTACTATACTTACGTGCGCTTTCAAATTATCTACACTTATACAAATATGAAAATTTAATGATATAATTTATAAAATTAATACTACTGAAACCTGACAGTTGTGAATATATAATAATAACATCGTTGACATCTCATCTGTAAAATTATTTAACATGGTTCTATTAATGATATATCAGTAATATAGTTTTATCGTTAATATTTAATTCGTCTTATAATATTCGGTGATAATTTCGCTATCATTTCCGTTAAGATACTAAAATTAATATTGATATTTGCTCGATTAAATATTGGTTTGTTAACTAATGTTGAATATGTCAATATGGTGGTTATATACAATACTATTGTACAAATATCATTAAAATTAATTAATGCTAAGTTAAGTAAAATTAGTAAACTTCGCCTAGATTTTTACAAAGTATAAAGTTATATTACTTTCAAGTTCGTAAATAATTTACTAAATATTTATTCGAGTCAATAGCGCAACTATTGATAGAACGTGCAAACCTACGTTCACCCCTGTGCTACTGTGAATGTAGCTATTAGCGGAGAGGACGAAGAGTAAACTCTTAGAGATTGTATACAGTAACATGCATTTAAGTGTGTTTGTCAAATCTTTCTGGCGTACTTATTTGATTTTTTCTTCATTTATTTATATACGAAAGTAAGAAGTTCGTTTATAACACTGATTCAAATACTTTTTACTTCATTCTACTAAAGTATATTAATTTAAAATAATGTTATAAAGGTAAATAATTTATAAATTAAATGATTTTATTTATTCTATAAAGTGTATAGTTACGTTAAATAATTAAAAACATAAATTTGCATTAACAATGAACGAGACGTTAATAAAATTTAATACAAAAGAATATGGTCTCGTATTTATTATTTTTTTAAGTAAAGTATATAAATTTATCGTTTTACACACCTTTCACATTTTCATATTTGTGATAAATTTGATTTAGAGAGTTTCAACCATAATCTGTTAAAATAATTTTTTTTTTCTGTTGTAAAGAATAGGTTTTCTTATCTTGTCTTTCAAATAACTGTCCCTTTTAATATGACATTATCATTTTAAAAAAATATTAATAAATTCTCTAGAGTTACAAAATAACCTTTAAAAATTGATATTTTATACGCTTAACGATATATTATTGAGTAAAAAAGAGCGAGAATTAATATAGATTTCTATTTGAGTATTTTATTTAATCATAAATTTTAACAAATATAAGTTTTCTTAATAATGTAAGCAGCTTAAGGATAACTATTTATTATTTATGAAAACGTTATTAATGTCTTCTTTTTTTATATGTAAACGTTTAATGTCTTTTTATTTAATTAATGTAAAATCAGAAATTAAAATATAATTAGAAAAGATTTATTAATTTAATAAAACATTTTGGACTTTACTTTTGGTACGAAGAAAAACAATTTCTTTTCAAATCCACTTAATTGTGAATTTTTTTTATTTGTATAATTTAAATTAAATTATTAAATTTATGAAAAAGTACAATTAACAATATTTACATAATGATTAAAAATTATATTAATTAATTAAAAGCAATTTGTTTAAATAAAAATGTTGTTATTGGAA